TGTCCTCCTTTTTAAGTGAGACTTAAACATACTTAGTGTTGTATTCATTTAACTGATCACCTTGAGTTATTATCATTATTATTATTATTTTTTTTTGTATCTTAGGGAAGGGTCTACAGGGTGTTCAGGGTCTCACTACTAGATCGGACTCCTAGTGATCAGCCTGTTTACAGCCTCCCAAGAGCTGGGATTACAGGCACACTACCTCACCAAATTGCTGTCTCAGGACGCCATGGGGGTGGGGCCATCACAGCAGGCCTGGGGATCGAACCCCAGGCCCCTACTTACAGGTGTTTTAATCCGCTGAACTACTTGGCCGGCCTTTACCTTGAGTTATCAATCAGTTTTCATTTTATGCTTTGTAACTTGGCCCATTGTTATTTTTAGTAACAATGATTAGAACAACCTGTAGGGTTGGTTAGAAGGGCATCACATTTAATGGAATTTGAATTCCTGCCACAGCAATTATTTGTTCCAAATACAAACATTAAGATTTCAGTCCTTTTACCTGGACAGTTTTTCTCCTTCCATTGATTTCCTGCTTCTCCAAGAGTAATACATCTTTTTTAGGGAGTAGTAAATGGGAAAATGCAGCTTCAGTTTGATAACTACTACTTTATTATAAATACACATACAATAATGTTCAAGGGACTATGAAGGGCTTTTAGGGACCTAAAGATGAGAATGTCAGTTGCTTTCAGTTGTAGCAGTAACAAAGAAATAGACATTTCCGTTTTAAAGATATGATTAAATATAAAGACACTTTTAAAAATTTAGTAAAAAATTTCATTTTTACTAAAATGAAATTCAGAGAAAGGCAGTCCAGGGTTGGCACAGTAGCTCATAACATCTTTTATCTCTGGTTAGCTATTATCAATGGGCTGGCTTTTTTCTTTAGGATTATATATGAATGTTCACAAGAGCTGTATTATCTATAAATATCGTATCTTCATATAGCCACATCCAATGGAGAAAAATAGCAGCTTTTCTGCAACTTTACATTTTCTTCAAAGGAGAAAATTTATCTCAGTGCCTCTTGTACATTTCCTCTACCTCCCACTGTCTCAGATGGAGTCAGTGCCTGGAAAAAGATCTGTGTGCGTGTACATGTATTGTTGGATAGGCAACTATACCGTCTGCCCCTAAGAATAAAGTGAAATTGCTGTGCTCCTTCAAGAAGCTTTGTGCCTCTTAAGGCAGAAAAGAAGCTGTACTTTTATTACAATATCTGTGTGGTAGATTCTTGTACTTACTTATGGGTTGCAAAAGTTTTCTGTGGTACTTTGAATTTGCAGCTGCTAAACCCAGCCTTTCCCCCCATTGTTCCCAGGTTTTGTATGGGCTCTGTTCTGGGTATCTTTTTCAAGAATAATGTTCAACTATGAAATACCAACTTACGTAAAATATTTTAGGTAAAATTCTTTTTCTCCAAATGCTCTGAACCTGCCTTTTCCCAGTGCATAAATTCCATCCATTTATTTGGCAAATACCTGCTGCATGCTTACTATGTAGTAAACACTTAAGAGTTGAGGATACAAGACTAGAGCTCTAGCTGGATGTGTGGTGCATAGACTGACAATGACAAATGGTGAGAAGGAATGCTATACAATGGGAGAACAGGCATTATTGGGTACAGGAGCTAAAAAGAAGCCTGGAAGCCTTTTTTTTTTTTTTTGATACAGGGTTTTGTAAGATTGCTAAGCTGCCCTATGTGGACTCAAATTTGTGATCCTCTTGCCTTAGCCTCCCAGAGTATTGGATTTATAGACATGCATCACTGTATCTAGTAGAAAATCTTCTTAAAACCTTTGGTGGACTGTTTGTGTCCCCCCAAAATTCATATGTGAAAATCTTAAACCCCAATGTGATAGTACTAGGACTTGGGGCCTTTGGGAGGTGATAGTCATGAGGGAGGAGCCATCACAAATAGTATTAGTGACCTTATAAAACAGACCCTGGAAAGGTCTCTGTTCTTTTTCTGTCCTATAAGGACACTGTGAGGTGATGGTTGTGTATGAATAAGGAAATGGCCCACACAAGACACCAAGTCCTATGGCACCTTGACTTTGGATATTCCAGCCTCCAGAGCTGTGAGAAATAAATGTTTGTTGTTTGAAACATCAAGTCTCTGGTATTCTGCTGTAGCAGCCCAAACAGACTAACACAATTTCTTTAAATGGCATTTTTCTTTAAATTATAATTTCTTCAGGCACAGGGGTCTGGGGTATGATCCCTGGGCCTGCCGTGCCGGCCTTGCCCCTGGGGTGGCTGAGATGGCAATTGAGACTGGGCGTGGTGGCATGTGCCTGTAATTCCAGCTCTTGGGAGGCTGTAAACAGGTGGATCACCAGGAGTCCAATGTAGTAGTAAGACCCTGAACACCCTGTAGACCCTTCCCTAAAAAATAAAATAAATAAATAAAAATTATAATTTCTTTTAAAATGTTCAAGGTAGAGAAGCATATGTAGGAAATTATTGAGGTGAAAATGATGTAAAAGTGCTCTTGAAAACAGCTTCTGTAATTCCTTCTTCTCAGTCATTTCTCAATTTGCTGAACTCTTAGACTACAAGATCTCTGTAAGCAAAATGTATAACTTACACAGAGCACCTGATAAATACAAAGGTAGCTTCAAGGGAGAATGAGATTATATGTGAGTCAGGGCAAAATGAATGCTTAGCTGAGCATGGTAGTACATGCCTGTGGTTCTAGCTATTGGGATTCTATTGCCTCAGCAGAGAGAATCACTTAAGCTGAGGTTCGAGGAAGCCTGGGCAACACAGCATGGCCTAGCTACCTAAACAGACCAAAAAAAAAAGAAAAAAAGAAAAAAAAAAAAAGCTTACATTTTTAAAACACTTGAGGCCAGCAGATGATACCATCCTTCTCTTCCAAATAATAGGGAATAGCCTGACCTGTCTGGCTGACGCAGAGACCAAAGCAGCTGAGAGGCATTGATTCATAAAGTTCTGAAGGAAGAGCAAAGTAATTATAGTTCCAATCTTCAGATGTTACTTTAAAGGCTATTTCAGGAAGCATAATGAAAAGTCAGTACCTGTCAAGAGAAAAAAAATAGCCTCACTTTTGTTTGCAAGAGCTTTTTAAAAAGTTTCTTGGTATTGGCTGCTCTTTGTGTCAGGGTTCTGTGTTCCTGTTGGGGAGGGCTTATCAAATGTGGCAAACTACTTGTAAAATAAAATATTTAAAAAGAGCCAATGTCCATGTCTTGATTCAGGTTCTTGCTATTTCATTTTAGATCCATGTTTAACTTTTTTTTTGAGACAGTCTCATTACTTGGTTCACTTTGATCTTTTACTAACAGAATACATCTTAGAATACTGTTTTATTTACAGAAAGATGGAGCAAGAGAATTCTCACTTATTCCCTCTATTAACACTTTACATTTATTTAGTACAATTAATCAATATTGATACCCTGTTCATAAAGGCCATACCTTATTCAGATTTGTTTTTGTCTAATGGCTTTTTTTCCTTTGGGATCCTAGTCAACTGAAAACTTACATTTTATTTTTCTGTTAGTTAACAGCTCATTTTAGTTGTCCACACTAATGTCTCCTTAGATTCTCTTGGTTGTCAGTCACGTTCATTTTTTTGGTGTGCAGCTCAGCCTGCCCTGGGAGCAGGGCTGCCCGTGGCTTGTGGTGCCACAGATCAAACCATGGTCCCCGTGCTTGTCGAAACTTGCCTAAGCAGGAGCTTCAGACCGCTGAACTATCTCACTGGCCCTACCTTCATTTTTTGCATGATGAACCAGACTGAAAATCTGATTAAAGACCATTGAGGTGGCATACACTTGTAATGTCAGCACTCAGGAAGCTCAGGCAGCAGGACTGAGTTCGAGGCCAATCTGCACTACATAGCTAGACCTGTTTAAAAAAAAAAAAAAAGCTAAAGATAATTTCCACAGAAACGTGAATTTAAGTCTAATTTAAGAGGGGTTCCACCCACAGTACTTCAGAAGCCCTGTTTTATGAGGAAAATGTGATCTTTAAATTCCCTTTCCGGATTTAGACTCTAGTTCAGGCTTTCCCGTTAATTTGTTGTGTGATCCTTTGTCAAAGTGCTGCCTATGGGGGCCTCAGTTTCATCTGTGAAGAGTTTACACGATGTCTCAACCCATTTCTGGCAGAATAAAAGATGGTTATCATCTGGAGTTATCATTATCTGAGAAGAAGGGCTCGGAAGGGACGATCAGATCAAATTATTCCAGGGAAATGGATGGCCTTATCAATAAAGAGGCTGCAGAGGTTCCGGTGAGAAAAACAGGGTTCCACTTGATGGTGTGCTGATTTTGCAAGTCATTTTCTCCCTTTGGGTTTCAGATTCCTCATCTACAAAACGAGGAAGGCCTTGCTTCTGGTAACTGTGAAATTCCTGGGAGCGGCTGAGGAGCCTGGCAAAATACCATGTGAAGAATTCAGACGGGAAAGTAGGTGAAGGGCGGGTCTGAGGAATGCCAGGCAGGGCTGAGGACTTAGGCAAGAGGTACCTATTATAGGGTTGAGCAACGCCTCCCGAGCACCGCGGGTGTCCTTGCGCCTCCATTCCAGCTCCGCCTCCTCCTCGCTTTCCTTCCTCTCATCTTCCTTCCCCTCAGAGCGCACGACGCCACACTTCGCATGGCAGCCACTACGCGCCGCTTTCCACAGCTCAAAGGGCGGGCGCGCTCCCCGCGTCGTCACTTCACTCGGCCCCCGCCTGCCCTGTTCCTCTCAGAATTGGCTGATCGAGTGAGTGACGTAAGTGCTCCATTTTTTTTTTTTGGTCCCTCAGTTTTCTGACCCTGCCCCTCCCCCTTTTCTACTTGTGCAGACGCAAGTCGAAACCTTACTGTTCGAGTTTCGACGGCGTCTGGCGCCGACTAAGTTGGGTAGACCAGAAGGCCCCGGCGAGGGCGCGCACGCACACACGCACGCACGCACGCACGCACGCCGGAGGCCGGCCGGAGACAGGCTCGAGCCCGGGCTCGCCCCGCGCCGCGCCAGAGCTCGCGCACTCAGCAGGTCGGGCTGCGGCGGTGGCAGCTGGGCGAGCCGAGGCGCTGCGTGCGAAGGTCCCAGGCGCGTCTGCGTCTGCGTCTGCGTCTCCGCCACCCTCTCTCCTCAGTGTCGGTGTCGGGTGCTGAGGAAGGGAAGGCGCAAGCCTAGCCTTGGGAAGCCCGAGCACGCCCTTGGTTGCCTCCGACACCGCCCTCCTTTCCTTCCCATCCGTGGGCCTCGCTCGGTGCTAGGCGACTCTGCGGGGGGCGGCGGCGGCGACTGCCAGTCTGTGGAGTCCTGCTGCCCCGCAGCCTCGCTCCTGCGTCCGTCCTGCAAAAGCCAAGGAAGCTCGGCGCCCTCCCTTCCTCTCGCCGTCCTCGTCTGCCGGTGGGAGCAGCGTCGGTCCGGGAGGGCTCTGGGCTGAGGCGGCGGCAGCTCCTCCGGCTCCATCATGTCCGCGGGCGGAGACTTCGGGAATCCGCTGAGGAAATTTAAACTGGTGTTCTTGGGGGAGCAGAGCGGTGAGTGCGCGGCTCGCCCTCTTTGGCCTCCGGCCGCCGCTTCCCCGCGCCGCCCCCGGTGCGGCCCTTTGGCGCTCTGGGTTCCACCCAGCTCTTCCCCGAGCTCCGCCGCGCCGGGATCCATAGGCCGGATTTTTACCCAAGCCTTCGATCCCTACTCTGCGGTCCGCGTTCCCCACAGCCCGGCCCTCTCCCCTCAACCTGCCTCCCTCCTCCTGCCACCCCGCCCAGCCCCAGACTCCTGTCCATCCCTTTCTTCCTCCGGTCTCCGTCGGCTCTTTCCCCGACTCTTTCTTGAGCCCCACCCTTATGCCGTGCTCTTTCTCGCGTTGTCCGCGACGTGAGGCTCACCCCGGGAAGCCCCACTTCTGGAAACCGGCCGTCTTCAACCTTGGGCTAAGGAGGGTGGGTTTTGGGCGTTGTTTTCCCCAGAGACTTGGCCCTGAGAAGTGCAGATCTTCTGGAAGGTGGGAAGTGGTGGTTGTAGAAAAAAACAAAAACAAAACAAAAAACCGGAATGGTTTTCACCTAGATGGGAAATTAGCCTGGGTTGCAGAAAAAATATTTATGAATTGGAGGCGACTTGAACGTGGGGTGCTTGGGGGTGAGAAGTGTGGCATTGGCAGTGACGATTTTGCACCTGGGGTTGGGCTGTGGCATGTTGAAAGAGCTCATTTTTTTTGGATTTTCATCACTGATAATTTTTTTTTGGCAGTTTTGATGCTTTTTCGATGTCTGCCAGATGCTATGTCATGATCATTTTACTTGGGATTTTTCACATCTTACCTCCCCTTTTTCTCCTTTCAACGTGAAACAGCGTTTGGCTCTCATGGTGGTGCAAACAGGAATTACTGGGAAAATGTTAATTCATATCTTCTGGATGGAGTATTTTCTAGTTACTTGTGCAAGAATAGTTACAATAACTAACATCTTTGTTTTGTAGCGTTGTCTTTGGGTTATGGAGTAGGAATAGAGTCATCATCTAGTTATTTAAATTAGGTTTTAATATTTGAGCTAAGTGATGTTGTATGTCTAATATTTCGTAGTATCTGATGAGTGAAATTGTGCTGTTCACCTGGTGTGGGTTCTGCTGTCGATGTACATAGTATGAGATTGTAATTTTGTGCTGGTCGTTTCTTAAAATATTATAGTAATAATATTTTACTAGTTTTATGGTGTATTATACAAATTTAGCAGTAATGCAGAAATTATCACCTCATTTGTTTCTCACATCTTTCATGACCATCTTTAAAATGCAAACGTAAGAGAGTTTAATTTCAAGTTATCACACATTGGCTATCTACAAGGTGTCTTAGGTGAGGTTATAGAAAACGTGTTTATTTGTATTGAAAGGCATATAACAGAATTTATAGTTTTGATTGCTGTCTTGAACTATATTAATTTGTATGACATAGCGGGGTAATATTGATTGCAAAATCGATTCCAGTTTGACCTAGGAAATAGTTTTTTCTTTTTTTTATACTTAGATTGTCTTCCTTTTACTCCTAGTCCTTGCCCCTTCCCCCTTTTTTTCCTTTCCATTTGAACCCAGGGCCTTCCCACCAAACTACATCTGCAGCCTTTTTTTTTTTTTAATAGCTTCACAAAGTTGCTAAATTTTTCAGACAGCACTGGAACTTTCTCCTCCTGTCTCAGAATCCCGGAGTACTGGGATTACAGGTGTGCATCACCGCTTTTGGTTTACTCCATGAAGGGTAAAGTCTCTCTGATTTTCTCTCTTTTTTTTTTTTTTTTTTTTTTGTTTTTTTGTTTTTTTGTTTATGGATTTTCTTTAAGTATAAACTTGTTGCCTTAAGTGAGTACTTGGTGGAGCCTATGGAGTTGATACTGGTCCAGTTATATTGCAATTCCAGGACATTGCCCTACATAAAATACAGTTTACTGGTCATCACTGATAAGTAGACTGTAAAGTGCTTATTGTGCTGCCTACACATGCCTGTAATTCCAGGCCAGGGAGGAAGCTGAGGCAGAAGGATAGCAGTGAATTCAAGGGCAGTCTGCAATACATAGTGAGAACCTATTTCAAAAACACCAAACAAACAAACAAAACAAAAGCTTACTGTGTGCTCAGGAATATTACTGCCTTTTGTTATGATGCAGAGCTATTTAGTTTGCATGCAAAATCCATTAATCTGTCTAGGAAACTTTTTGTGTGAAGAGCTCCTAAGTATTTGCATGTTTCCTTAGAGTTCTATGAGTATTTATGTTCCCAGTCGTACTGCAGAGTTTTGTGGCTTTTTATTTCATTGTTTAAGCTTTTACTAACTCTTCCCCTTCACTGTCTCACTCCACCTCCTCCCCCAGATAATTCCCAAAGCTTTGTTAGATTTTAAAAAATATATATATTTTGGTTTTTGAGACAGGGTCTTGCTCTATAGTTCAAGCTGGCCTTGAACTCACTGTGTAACACAGACTGGTCTCAAACTCAAGAGTTTGCCTGGCTTAGTTAGCCTCCTTAGTGCTGGGCTTACACCACCTCATGCAGCAACTTGTATTTTTTAGAAGTTTTAGACTTATACCTCTTTACCTGGTTTCCCAAATTATTAATATATTAGTATGGTACATTTGTTACAACGAATGAACCTGTATATAGTATTGATATGTTTTTAACTAAATGTCATAGTTCATTCACAGACTATAATCTGTGGCAGAGTTTTATTTCTTTAATAATGTGTACTACATTTATAATTATATCTTTTTTGTGTATTTGCTTGTTTGGTGTTTTTTTGTTGTTGTTGTTTGGTTGGTTGGTTTTTTTTGGCAGAACCAGGGATTGAACTCAGGCCCTTGTGCTTGCCAGGGAAGTGCTTAATCTAGTGAGCCATCTCCCCGGTCCCTTTTTTATGTATTTGTTGTTGTCTGTTTCTCACAGCAGAATTTAAGTTCCATGAAAATAAAACTGTTCTTTTTGTTCATTATACTCTCATTGCTTAACATAGTGCCCAGCTTGGAATATGTATGTATGTATGTATTTATTTATTTGGTACAGGGTCTCGCTACACAGCTCAGACTCGTAGTGATCCTCCTCTCTCAGACTCTCCAATGCTGGGATTAGAAGCATGCACCATCATGCCTAGTCTCATTGGCTAACTCCGCATGTGGTACAAGGGATTACACCCGGGTCCTTGCACTTGCTAGACAGGCACTTAGACTGCTGAGCGATCTCCCCAGTCCTAACTTGTAGTAATTACTCATAAGTATTTGGTGGATAATGGTTGTATTTAACAGTCACCAAAGCTAGTAGCTTGTATTTAACTTTTTGCTATCAAGAGCGCTACAATTTTTCCTAATGTAATTACTAGCTTAACAATATATTGTTAATCCGCAATACAGGGATAGTCCAGGTGCTGGGGAGTGGGGTAGAGAAACCAGAAATTTATCAGCTTAATGGACGTACATTTTATATTCTTTTTCTTTTTGTTTTGAGACAGTGTCTTAATTGTGTAGTTCAGGCTGTCCTTGAACTCACTGTGTAACCCAGGCTGTCTTCAAACTTGTGGCAGTCCTACCTCAGCCTCCCTAGTGGTGGAATTACAGGTGTGGGTCACCACACTCAGCCTTTATACATTGTTTTGGAGCTGAACAAAATTCCTCTTTCTTAAAGCTGTTAAATTATTTGCTTTTAGTGTAACATGTAAAAATGTCAAATTGTATTACAGATGTGTGTTCGTAAAACTGATTTGAAATTAGACTGTTTGGCTTAGGTTATCAAAAATTTAAAGTGCTATGCTGTATAATAAAGATAAATTGTTTCAGTATATGAAATAGATTGAGTTAATGACACCAGTCTTGGTAATTGTGCTACAAATCTCTTTTGGTTTGTATTTTATTTTATTTTCATCTTTTTATATTTTTGCGGAACCGGGGATTAAACTCAGGCCCTTGCGCTTGCCAGGCAAGCACTTATTCTACTGAGCTATCTCCCCGAGGCCTGTGGTTTGTATTTTACTATTATACCTGCTCTGATAGAACAATGTTCAAATATATAATTCCTTGAAGTTTCCTTAAGAAAGTTCTTTGTTATTACCTGTGGTAATAACTGCAGAGACACTTTTTTTTTAAATTTTTTATTTTTTTTTAATTTATTTGAGAGAGAGAGAGAGAGAGAGAGAGAGAGTGTGTGTGTGTGTGTGTGTGTGTGGCCAGCTCAGCCCACCAGGGGGCGGGGCTGGCTGGCATGTGGTGCTGGGGGATTGAACCGCGGTCCCTGATGCTTTGCTAAGCTAGTTCCAAGTAGGTGCTTTAGACCACTGAGCCATCTCTCCAGCCCTGCAGAGACACTTTTAAGAATATCATTAAATGGGGCCGGGGAGATGGATCAGTAGAATAAGCACTTGCCTGGCAAGCTCAAGGGCCTGAGTTCAATCCCCGGTTCCAAAAAAAAAAAAAAGAATATCATTAAATAAGGGGCAAAAGAGATGGCTCAGTAGAATAAGCAAGGGTCTGATTTCAATCCCTGGTTCTGCCCCCCCATCACTAAATAGTAGATTTATAGTAGATCATTTATACTAGATTTTACTATATACTGTATACAAGTGTGTGTTATCAATTATTAGGAAATATAATGGCAGGGAGAAGCACCTAGTACTGCTTACTTTTTCACTGTATATTGCCCATTTTACATCAGTTATTTTTAATTATAGCATGCTAGGTAGGGAAAAAGTATCATGAATCTTAAAATAGTGCTTAATACTTTATTCTGTATTCTAGATCATGCTGTTTTGTATTTCACTGTATATTAATGTGTATATATCCCCTTTAAATTTCATGTGAATAGACTGAAAAACTCAATTACTGTTTTTTTTTTATTTTTTTTTTATTTTTTTTTAACATTTATTTATTGTGTGTGTGTGTGTGTGTGTGTGTGTGTGTGTGTGTGGCCAGCTCAGCCCACCAGGGGGCGCAGCTGGCTGGCATGTGGTGCTGGGGGATCGAACCGTGGTCCCTGTACTTTGCCAAGCTTGTTCCAAGTAGGTGCT